ATTTCTTAAACTCAGTTTGGTGCTTTCTGTCCTTGTTACTGTATTTCTGTTACTTTAAAAAAAACCCCAAGAGACACAAAAACAGCGGAGAATATCTATAATGAAAGAGTGGAGAGCCTCTCTAATGGGTCTTGAAATTTTTGATGAATTGTTTTTAGGTATTTGCCCATTAAGAAATTCATATGGGGTTGACAGTGAGAATACTTCTATTACATAAAATTTCTCAGCTTGTCATTCAGGCTAATTTTACACAAGCTCTTCATTACAGTACATTGCACAAAACCCAGTGATTTTCATATGGAGAAATACAGGTGCTTCTTTTGAAGTGCATTGATAAAATAGAACTGAAATTAAATAAAATATTGATATGCAAAATATGAATTGCACATTAATTGGATAACATGATTTGTATTGGTGTTTGGTACATAGTCAAACTTGTGCTTCTTAGTGTTGCTTATAGGAAACAATTTCTGCTGGATGATGAAAAGGAGAGAGATACAGACAGAAAAAATTTTGAGTGGGAAGATCAATCACTAACTAGAGTGAAGGTCATTAACTTTCCCCATGGTCTTATTTTTGAATGAAACACATATCTGTAGATAGATTGCACAGATCTTCTGAGAGGGAGGTGAAGGTTTGAATGTGAGGAAAAGTGAAGGAAGAGCATGATGGAATAGAATGGAGAAGACATTTTGTATTGTATTCAGCATAGTTGGTGATGTTGGAAGTTAGAATTGATTTTGATTGAGGTAATGTCAACTTTCCTGGAAATTCCTTGGACTTTGAGGCTGAAATGACTTCTGTAAAACTTTTGGCAGGCAAGCAAAATCTAATTTCTTTTTTCTTGAAACTAGTTTTCCGTGAGCATTTATGAAAGTCTGGTAAGTTCTACACAGAACAGACTAACAATTTGTAAATGCTCAAGGGCACCTAGAGTTTTTTCATAGTCTAGTTTGTAAAAATGCTAGTTTTACTCTTGTGTTGAACAGTATAGTTTATTTTGTAATTTAATTGATAATAATTGGTTTTTATATATTGTATTGCTGTTATATGGAACTTAACCTGCTATTGCTGGATAGGATTTGGGAAGCAGGTTAAAACACAGGTATTAATAGTAATGAAATCAGAATCCTCATCACAGCAATTGATACTACTTCTAGCCTTCTAATTAACATGTCAGAAAGCATGTTTTTCAAACACCATACATCTTCTTGGCATCTTCTAATACCATGTCAAAAAGTATAGTGGTATTATCAAGTATTGCAGTATTAATAAATGCTTTTACAACTGAAGTAGCACTGCAATCCTATGCCCTGCAGCAGTCGTATTCAAAAGGTGAATTATTCCTGTAATCTTGAGGAGTCAGACACTTGTTGGATGAGTAATTTACCACTTCCAAGATGCCTGGGGATTCAGTGTGTTTTGCTTTGGGGAGGCCGTGCTGCAGTTGATGCCCTGCTGTGTTTCAGCTTCCTGACTGCAGCTGTTTTCTTTTCTCCAGCTCCTTCAGCAAACAGGAGGTAATTGGTTGTGGTTAGGTTATCTCATCCTGCAGCAGAGTTAGCAGGCAACTTGTAATTGGAGCAGGGAAGGAGCCAAGTACATAGACAGACAACCTATTCTGGAGCGCAGTGCAGCTATGTGGATTAAGTCACATGTCTTTCAATATGCCTGAACCATGGAATGTGCCACAGAGCTATCTGCTTATAACTAAAATAGCAGCAGTGGAGACAGTGATTCGCTTACATCTGGGGGGAAGCAGTAATTAGGAAGTCCTGAAGTG